GACTGTCCTCAGTTCTTTTCATTCTTTTTTCTTTATTCTGCTCTGCAGTAGTTATTTCCACTATTTTATATTCCAGGTCATTTATCCTTTCTTGTGCCTCAGTTATTCTGCTATTGATCCATTCTAGAGAATTTTTAATTTCATTTATTGTGGTGTTCATGGTTTTTTGTTTGCTCTTTAGTTCTCCTAGGTCCATGTTAAACGTTTTTTGTATTTTCTGCATTCTATTTCCAAGATTTTGGATCACCTTTACTATCATTATTCTGAATTCTTTTTCAGGTAGACTGCCTATTTCCTCTTCATTTGTTAGGTCTGGTGGATTTTTACCTTGCTCTTTCATGTGCTGTGTGTTTCTTTGTCTTCTCATTTTGCTTAACTTACTGTGTTTTGGGTCTCCTTTTCACAGGCTGCAGGTTCATAGTTCCCGTTGTTTTTGTTGTTTGCCCCTAGAGGCTAAGGTTGGTTCAGTGGGTTGTGTAGGCTTCCTGGTGGAGGGGACTAGTGCCTGTGTTCTGGTGGATGAGGCTGGATCTTGTCTTTCTGGTGGGCAGGTCCACATCTGGTGGTGTGTTTTGGGGTGTCTGTGACCTTATTATGATTTTAGGCAGCCTCTTTGCTACTGGGTGGGGCTGTGTTCCTGTCTTGCTAGTTTGGCAGTATGGTGTCCAGCACTGTAGCTTGCTGGTCGTTGAGTGGAGCTGGGTCTTGGCATTGAGTTGGAGATCTCTGGCAGATATTCGCCTTTTGATATTACGTGGAGCTGGGAGGTCTCTGTTGGACCTTGGCTCTCCCCTGCTCAGAGGCACAGCCCTGACACCTGGCTGGAGCACCAAGAGCCTGTCATCCATATGGCTCAGAATAAAAGGGAGAAAAAAGGAAAGAAAAAAAGAAAAAGATAAAATAAAATTAAAAAGTTATTAAAATAAAAGCAAAAAATAATTTAAAAAATTTTTGAAAGTAATTTAAAAAGAAAGGAAGAAAGAAGAGAACCAAACCAAAAAACAAATCCACCAATAACAAGCACTGAAAATTATACTCAAAAACAAAAACAAAACAAAAAAACATAGAGAGAACCCTAGGACAAATGGTTAAAGCAAAGCTATATAGACAAAATCACACACAGAAGCATATACATACAGACTCACAAAAAGAGAAAAAGGGAAAAAAATGTATCGTTGCTCCCGAAGTCCACCTCCTCAATTTGGGATGATTCCTTGTCTATTCAGGTATTCCACAGATGCAGGGTACATCAAGTTGATTGTGGAGATTTAATCTGCTGCTCCTGAGGCTGCTGGGTGAGATTTCCCTTTCTCTTCTTCGTTTGCACAGCTGCTGGGCTTCAGCTTTGGATTTGGCCTCGCCTCTGCGTGTAGGTCGCCTGTGGGCATGTGTTCTTCGCTCAGACAGGACAGGGTTAAAGGAGCAGCTGATTCGGGGGCTCTGGCTCACTCAGGCCGGGGCGAGGGAGGGTTACGGAGTTCGGGAAATTCGGGGCGGGCCTGCGGCAGTAGAGGCCAGTGTGACGTTGCACCAGCCTGAGGCCGTGCATTCTCCCGGGGAAGTTGTCTCTGGATCATGGGACCCTGGCAGTGTCGGTCTGCACAGGCTCCCAGGAGGGGAGGTGTGGAGAGTGACCTGTGTTTACACACAGGCTTCTTGGTGGTGGCAGCAGCAGCCTTAGCGTCTCATGCCCGTCTCTGGGGTCCACGCTGATAGCCACTGCTTGCGCCCTTCTTTGGAGCTCCTTTAAGCGGCACTCTTAATCCCCTCTCCTGGCGCACCAGGAAACAAAGGGGCAAGAAAATGTCTCTTGCCTCTTAGGCAGGTCCAGACTTTTTTCCGAACTCCCTCCCGGCTGGCTGTGACGCACTAGCCCCTTCAGGCTATGTTCACGCAGCCAACCCCTGTCCTCTCCCTGGGATCCAACTGAAGCCGGAGCCTCAGCTCCCAGCCCTCGCCCGTCCCGGCGGGTGAGCAGACAAGCCTCTCGGGCTGGTGAGTGCTGGTCGGCACCGATCCTCTGGGGGGGAATCTTTCCACTTTGCCCTCCGCACCCCCATTACTGCACTCTCCTCTGTGGCTCCGAAGCTTACCCCGCCTCCTCCACCCACAGTCTCTGCCTGCAAAGGGGCTTCCTAGTGTGTGGAAACCTTTCCTCCTTCATAGCTCCCTCCCACTGGTGCAGGTCCTGTCCCTATTCTTTTTTCTGTGTTTTTTCTTTTTTCTTTTGCCCTACCCAGGTACGTGGGGAGTTTCTTGCCTTTTTGGAGGTCTGAGGTCTTCTGCCAGCATTCAGTAGGTGTTCTGTAGGAGTTGTTCCACATGTAGATGTATTTCTGTTGTATTCGTGGGGAGGAAGGTGATCTCCACCTGTTACTCGTCCGCCATCTTGAAGCTCCTCCCTGGCTATGTGATTTTTAATCAGTTTTTATACCCTGAGTTTTATGTCTTCACTTGCCATGCCTGTCCAGTTTTCTTTTTTGTGTATTTGGAGCACCTATGAGGTAGACAGCCAGCAGATAAGAGGGGAAAATCTATCAATAAGAAGGATCATCATGCATCCTTCAAGAAATTTACAATTTGTATGATTATTTACAAAAGACTGGAAAATTATAGCTGAGCAAAAACTTGTAATTGAGATGACATTATTAGAGCAATGTCATGTATATGTAGTGGCCTTGTCTTGTATATATAGTGGCCAAAAACGGGCCTCTCTGAAGGAAATAAAGGAGTAAGCTGTGAGGAAATCTGGGAGAAGTAACATTATATCGGGAGTGAAGTGAGTGTGTACCTGGAGCACTCAAAGAACATCACAGAGGCCAGTTGTGGCTGGAGCAGAGTAAAGTAATAAGAGGAAAAGTAGTAGCAAATAAGGTTGTAGCAATAGAATGCAGACCAATTCATATAGAGCCTTGTAAACCAGAATCATGACTTTGGAAAACCATCAGCATTTTAGGCATGTGAAAGATCTGCCATGTTTTAAGATCATTGGCAGCTGTGAGTAGAATAGACCATAGGGAAGAAAGAACATGAAAGGGAGAACATAGGTTATTATTAGTCAAGTTGAGTGTCTTGGACAAGTATTGTAGCAGTGGTTGAAGGTAGTAAGTGGAAATATTATGACAGTTTTTGAAGGTAGAGCTGACACCTTTTATTAATGGGTTGGATATGGGGTGTGAGAGAGAGTGACCAAGTTTTTTGTCCTAAGCAGCTGCAAGAGTGGAATTTTCATATACTGTCATATGGTGAAGACTGAGGAAAGAACATATTTTGGGGGGCAGGGAGGTAGGGAAGAAATCCAGAATTCAGTTTTGTCCATGTTGGTTTGAGATGCATATTAGACATCAAGTAGTGATATCAAGATGATGATACTTATCAAGTTAGATGATACTTAAAGCCGTGAAATGAAAAGGTAACCTCGGGAGGGATTATAGATAGAGAAAAGATTTCTGGGTACTGGATTCTGGAGAACTTTTTTTCTGTCCTCTTGACTTGGTATCTGTTTCTTGCCCATGTTTTCTCTTTTTCTTCCTCTTCTTTGAGCAAATATGAGTGAATTTAAGTTGCCTGTACCTCCAAGAATGCATCATACTTATAAATAGTCTTAAGATGCACCTAAAATACAATACAAACATATTATGTTTATATATTGCTTTGAATTTTGTAAAGAACTTTTATTTATGAAACGCCTGCTGTGTGCCAGTACTGTGCTAGGTACTTCCCAATGTATTATCTGTTCGAATTTTATAAATGATTGATTGTATTTAAATGGAAATAGTGATGTATCTGGCAGATGGTAGCTTTAGGGAAAACATTCTTTTGTATTTATATGTTGTTTTAGTTTATATATATGTTTATATATACATATATAATTTTTAACTTAATGAGAGCATAAATATCAATATTGTAGTTGATATTGTGTAGTAGAAAGAACACTGGATTAGGCGTCTGGCAGTTGTCACTGAATAGCTATGGGAAAGTGATTTGGATTTTTCTTGGGTCCTGTTTCCCATCTGTGGAATAATAACATGATTAAGTTTGAGGAGGGACTTAGTCAAGGCGTCTCAGCCAGTAAGTGGATTGGGAATAGTTGTTTTTATTTATGCTTCCATATCCACACTGTGCAATGTTGTAGCCACTAGCTGTATGTGGCTATTTAACCTTAAATTAATTAAAATTAAATAAAATTTAAAATTTGTTTGCTCAGTTGCACTTGGCACATTTCAGGTGCTCATTAACCACATATGTCTAGTTGATACTGCATTGGGTAGTGTAGCTCTAGAACATTTTCATCATTGAAGAAAGTTTTATTAGACAACACTGCTTTATACAACCATTGCTATAACAACTTTCTTTGAAATCTGTGGTTGGCTATTTGAATTTATTTTTCCAACTTGTCAACCAGCTAGAAATAGCAAAAATTAAAAAGAATTTACTCTTTTATAGGATAAAAATGTAGTATAGTTCATTTTCACAGTATCATGTGTCTAAGTACTTTAAAATTATAATTAATAGAGCTTTCATGCCTGGTGGCGCAGTGGTTGAGAGTCCGCCTGTGGATGCGGGGGACGCGGGTTTGTGCCCTGGTCCTGGAGGATCCCACGTGTCGCGGAGTGGCTGGGCCCGTGAGCCATGGCCGCTGAGCCTGCGCGTCTGGAGCCTGTGCTCCGGGGCGGGAGAGGCCACGGCAGTGAGAGGCCCGCGTACCGCAAAAAAAAAAAAAAGAGCTTTCATAGCACTATTGAGAGAACTTTCATTAGAATCTATTGATGCAACTTTCATGTTCAATTTCTGGATAGTAATAGACATTTTTGAAACCTAAATACTAATGCAAAGAATGTTTTAAAAAATAAAACAATATTTTGCTATTATATATGTTAAGAGATGTAAAATACTAGTTTTAAAATTAGTATCATTAAAATTAAATCAGAGCAGTTCCAGGACACAATATTTGTGGTTGTAGAAATTATTTTTCTTCACTTTTTCTGTTTTCTAAACAGAAAAAAGGAATACATCGTTGTACAAAATGCAGACTACAGTTTTTAACATGCAAAGAGAAAATGGATCACAAGACTCAGCATCATCGGACATTTATAAAACCTAAACAACTAGAAGGATTGCCTCCAGGAACAAAAGTGAGTTCAAATATGCTGTATTTTAACATTTTGTATGATAATAGACAACTCCTGCCTGGTTTTATTTATTGAATAGAATACTTTAAAAATGATTTCTGATTTAATTAAGACTTTAATTTTAGGTTTTACCATTCCTATGTTTAGGAATAAAACTTCTAGCCATTGCTTTTTGGTCAGTAGTGTGTCCAACTCTAGAGTGGTATTCCTTTGTAAAAAGTATACCTAGATTAACTGTTCCAGAGTTAATGGGTTATGTCAATGTTACATAGGCTATTTTGGAGCTATTCTAGTTGGCAGTGTATATGTCATTTTTATCTGTTAAACTGTAAGATGCTTGAGATCAGGAATCATGTTTTATTTATCTTTGTGTCCTCAGCATCTGGTATAGTGCCTTGAATGCTGTAGGTTCTCAGATGTTTATTGAAATTGTTATTACTGAGTCTACTCTCAGAGAAGCAAGTTCTGCTGCTGGATAGCATTATGTTTTAAGTGAGCAAACACATGTCTGACTGCATACTGATGATTGTAATTTACTTTTCCCTTTTTGCCTTATATACCTCTGTTTTTTCTGACTTCTTTATACACAGTCAGCTCTTGAATATTTGCTCCAGTGGAGGGAAACAGAGGCATGGATAATCCAAAGTGAAATAATCCCCAAAACATTTATATTTGGCTTTGGGTTCTTACCTTTGAATGTGGGTATGTCTGTTATTTGAATTAACTAAAACAATATAAAGCCATGCTCTGAAGACCTAGAGCAAGAGAAGCTATCCAGCATCCTTCCCTGCAATCCATTCATTCCATGCTGGGACTAGACATGCAGAACACTAATGTAAGCAGTGCAGTCCTCTCTCATATTTTCCCTTAATAATAATAATAATAATAATAATGATACTAAATGTTTTTATAGCACCTTAGAATTAGGCTTTTGTTATGTTTGTTCATATATTCTATTATTTAATCCATATAGTAAGCCAGTGAGGTAGACGAGGGAAGTATTGTCCCTTATTATAGATAAAGAAGCTTAGAGAGGATGTTACTGATTCAAGGTCACATGGCTAGAAAGGAGTGGTATTAGCTTTAACCTCAGGTCTTTTGATTCCTAGTCCAATGCCTTTGTATGATACTAAAGCACATGTTTTTCATGGTACCTCCTCATAGGCTGTGGGGGGGGGTGTATAGTCAAATGATTAATGAGAAAGGTGGAGCAGTTGTGTTTTTCATTGTCAACCAGCAAATATAATTTCTTAATACCAAATGTTAAGTCTTGTATTAGCTTCCTTTAAGGAAATTCTAAGTATTATTAAACTCACCATGTAGTATAGTGAATTGATATAACCCCTCACATAACCTTTGTAAACATAAATCCTGCCCAATGAGCCCCTGGAAAGAAGTCACATTTACTGTAGATCTCTTTGTTTTATAGTTGTCGAAGGGTAACACAGTCCTTTCTAGGCTTTGAGATTTAAATTTTGACCTCTGTGTTTGTGAATTTTTCGTTATATCAGAGCATAGAAATATCTATGGAATGTGCTCTTTTAATATTCATATAATGTGCTTTAACTCCTAATTATCCATTAATAACTCTTAACATATAACTGATATCAGTACAAAAATGTAAGATTACAAGTGAGTAAATATCAAGTTTAATTTAATTGATATGAACATTTAGAATAAATGGAAGACTTACCAGTTACAGTTTATAATTGCCCTTTCCAAAAACTTGATGTTTAACTTTTCGTTATGCAGTGATATTTTAACAGTAATGCAGTGATTAATTTTCTAAAGCAAATATTATCTTCATTTTTGTAGGTTACTATTCGAGCTTCAGTTGGCCCTCTTCAATCAGGATCTTCAACTACACCTACCATTAGTGCAAGCACTTCTACCCTTCAGCTCTCACCTCCAAGGACTAAAAATATAACTGCTAAAAATCCCACAAAATCTAACACCAGTAAACCTAATATAACTAAATCCATTGCAAGTAAACCTAATGCAAGTAAGCCTAATGGAAGTAAATCTAAATACAAATCAAAAATATCTAATATGCAAAAGAAACAAAGCACATTGGCTAGTAGCAATAAAAAAAGTAAAGTCAATACAGCATTGAGGAATTTAAGGTAATCTTTTATTCTTGATACACAATACTAATCTTACGTATAAAAACTTTATTTAATATAAATTTACCCTATTACACAACTCTCTTGTACATTTATACACTGTCACTTAAGGCTAAGCAAATAATAAAAAATATTTTTTACAACAGTTGAACAGTACTTGAATTACTGTTTTTGTATAATATTCATTTATTACACTTGTGTTTTATGTGTGCTTATATCTTGTGTTGTTTGGTTAATATAACCAATTGATTAATCCCTTTTTTCCAGTAAGAAACATTAGCTGATAATAGATTTTTTATACTTATTCTAGCTGCTGTTCCATAGCAGATTTTTCAAATAATAAGTCTCTGTTTGAAGATGTTAATTTAAACACCTTAGCTTTAATTAACAGAAAATTAATAAGGTGGTCCCTTATTATTTTTGTTTTAAAATATATTTTTATTATTTTCTTTATATCTCTATAAGGTGTCGTCGGGGAGTTCACAAGTGCATTGAGTGTTGTTCTGAAATAAAAGATTTTGCAAACCATTTTCCTACATATGTCCACTGTAGTTTTTGCAGATACAACACTAGCTGTAGCAAAGCCTATGTGAATCATATGATGAGGTAAGATGAGTTAAACATCTATAATTGCCAATTAAAATTACAGTTCAGCAAGTTTGTTTTTGAAAACAGTTATCCTATTAGAAGTCAGTTTTTCTCTTCTAAGAAAACTTCTAAGATGATTCCTGGCACTATTTGTCGGCATAGTAATTCATGAAGTTCCTGGAAACTCGAATTTTAGGAACAGTTAGACTAATGAAATTAGGATAGGTTTGTTAGGGAAAATAGTTTTTTTATGGGAATTTTTTTTCCTATAGAACTTTCAAACATGGTTACTTCCAAAGACAGAAAAGTAAATGTTTTAAGTATATTTATGAAACAAATACGTGTAATCTCATGAGTGTTATTCTCTTCAAAGCAGTCACTTTGAGAGATTCCAGGGTTTTCAGTGATGTTAGAAACTTCATTGAGTCTGCTTCTCTCTCTCTTTTTCTCTGTAATGCATCTGTCTGTCCATCCATCCATCAAGCCATGTCTCCTTGCATTCATTCAGTGAAATGAGAGACTATTTCAGTCATGATGCCATTGTTGGAATTATTTTTCTTTAATTCATTCAACTTAGATAATTAGAGTATTCTCTGCAGAGAGAGCCTTCATAGCCTATGTTATCTTCATTTGTATCTCATTAGTTGGGGCATCCTTCAGGATGGATTTTTATTTTTTTAAAAATAGTCAAAAATTGGGACTTCCCTGGCAGTCCAGTGGTTAAGACTTTGCGCTTCCAGTGCAGGGAGTGTGGGTTCCATCCCTGGTCAGGGAGCTAAGATCCCACATGCCACGTGGCGTGGCGAAAAAAAAAAGAAAGAAAAAAATAGTGACGTTATGAGAACAAAACATTTAAAAAATAAATAAAATTTTAAAAAATAGTCAAAAGTTGTTCAGATATAAGCCAGTTAGGTTGATTATTCAAAGTGAGGTTCCGTTTTTTCAAAAGTTAGAATATGATTAATAAAAGTGATTTTCTTATAGATCACAACATGACCTCTGTGTTACTTTCTGGTCATTATCAGGTACTCCTTTCAGGGACTCTCCCACGTTTTTTGATGGCTCCGGCACCTCACTCACAGTTTTTTAACCCCCTTGATGGCTAGCCTGACATTATGGTAACTTGACTTCTTTAGTGTCAGTGCTTTACATCACTTTTAGACTTGTACCCCCTTTCTTACCACAGTACTATTTTAATCTTGTCATATATACTGTTCATTTCTTTTGAATTCCCATTTCCCAATGACTTTCTGGGCTTTGAGTTCTTTTTCCAGTCCAGCAGCACCTATCTAACTGTAGTCATCCTCACCCTCAGGGTCATCTGTTTTGATTGCTGCTTTGTTTTTGTTCTAGAATCCTTTACACATTTAGTCATGCTTACCTGGCATAAAGGCCAAAGACTTGACCATCTTCTTTTGAACTTTATGCTCAATTCTAGACCCCCAAATAGTGCTTGATTCAATCAACTCTGGCTCATGATCTTTAACTTGAATTGGGTCCTTTCTTTTTATTTTTAAATACTTCTTTATTCTTACCTACAGTATCTGATTAAACATTTTTTGGTACTCTAAAGATTTTATTTCGGATTCCCTTAGTTATTAACATGGCCTACAAATACACAGTTGGAGGTCATCCTTTTAATTAATCTTTTCAGCCTTAATTTTTTTTCCTGTTACATTTATCCAGGCATTAATCTCAGAAATCAAACATGTTCTACTTCTCCAAAGTTAACCCTGCCCCTTATCTCCTCTAGTTCTTCCACAACTTCATTCAGTTAATTTGTAACTTCATCTTCTAGCTACCAGGTTCCTTCTGCTTACAGATGATTTCAGGTATTTTTTTTAAGATGAGGGAGACTTGTCCTTACTCCCTACTTTCCTTATCTCTTGTCTTCTTATTACCATGAACATTTGTAGAAAGTATTTGTTACTAGCATATTCGTGATTCATTTCTTTATCTTTTGAGTATCATCCTCACCTACCAATTAACACTGCCCCTTTAAAGATTATCTGTCAAGTACTGATCCCCGTATTTATTCACTTTTTTTCACTCTTACTACTCTATGACTTCTTTAGAGTCATTGTTGTCACTCACTTTTGAAACTGTTCTCCTCAGCTTGTGTTTAACCATTACCACTATTTTTCTTCTTCCTTTTTGCCTACTCCTTCAGCTCTTCTCGCCTCCTTACATTTCCTTCGTAATGTAACCACTGTCGCTTTTACCTTTCAACTTTGAATCTTCCCGTTTCATTCCTTAGTTTTCCTGAGATCTAACTCTGTATTTCTAATTATTTCGTGTTTTGTTTTGTTTTTACCTTTGACTCATTGGCATCTAAAAAGAACCTAAATAAACCAAACATTATCATCTTTCCAGAATTCACTTTACTACCATCCAATACTCTTTCAGGGCATCATTTGTGTGAATGTGGAATACCAGCTGGAGAAAAATTCACTGTTGCCAGTATCTTAAGCTTGTGAAGTTCCCTTGATCTGCCACTGTGCATCATGGCTTCCTGAGACAACACCTTCTGCATTCTGCCTCTCTGCCTCCCACCTACTACAGTGGACTACACCTATAATCCATTTCCTCTAAACCAGGCCCCGGCCATCCTTTCCCAAGTGTACTTCTGTGTGGAATGTCTCTTGTTCTTTGACAAATGTATGGCTCCCCAAATGTGGCCTTAATTCTGCCCTTAGTTTATAGGGGATCAAATCGGAAAATATTTTTTGTTTTCCTAAGCCAAGGGTCGTTCTACTCTTCCCTCTCCCATTTATCATAGGCTTCTCATTGTCCTATAAAACCTCCACATCCATTCTATTCTAAAACATTCCCAGTTAGCCCAACTCCCTTCTACCCTTATCCCAATTCCCAGTGAGCCCCAACCCTGCACTTCATTGTCAGGACACACAATCTTACTCATGGTTAGCCTCATGTGGAACTGAAAGCTTCCACTGCCACTCTTAGGGTTTGGTAAATCACTTTTCCTTTTTCTCTACTTCATATGTACCCTTGCCTCACTCACTGCCTTAGGTATCTCCCATTGAATGGCCCAACCACTACTTCTTCCCAGTGTGAATTCTTGTTACAGGCTTGAGTTTTATATGTACAGAAACTTCATTTTCTCCAGAGGATAAGTCCCTTAAATCCCTATCCCATACTACCTCTGTACTCTCAATTGGTCTTTTCCCCTCCAGTCTCAGACTGCTCTTCTCCAGAATAAACTTTCTCCCATACTCATTTTTGACAGTGGCTTTTCCTTATTCTTTGTTAGTCCCTGGAATGCCCCTGTCCTTCCTTTCACTTTACCTTCTTTGAAGTGTCTGATCACCACAACCACTCACAGGGATCATTCCTTGCTTTGAGTTGTGTGCCAGTCATCTGTTCTGCCTTTTGTTATGTTTGTTTGTATTATATCCTTGAGAAGAAGGGGCTCTTTGTATTTACCATGTCACCTAGCACATTACAAACAGCAAGTGAGAGTCATTATTGTGATTATAAAAGAAAGCCTAAATAAAATCTCAAAAGAGGATACTAAAAAATCTTATGCAGTTGGAGCATTTTTGGAATAAGACTCTTACAAAGAAGAGCATCATTAAACATATAATTTTTAAGTGATTTTTTTAAGAAGTAGCATTATTTGGGTTTGGTGGTTTAAATTATTGCACCCTGTTTGCTTATAGCTTTTAGGTAGCAGTAGAAGTCACCTGAAAAAATGAAAATGCATTACTGTGTAATATTGCTATTATTCTTCAACATTATGTATAAGAAAGAAGGCTTTTTTCTCTACATGTAATAGAATTAAGGTAACAGCCATAAGTACCTAATATCTCTTTTGGTAGCAGAGCTTACTGTTTGCTAAGAAGTGTGGTAAGCTGGTGGTGAAGAATCTGACAAATCTGGATTTGAAACCAAGCTTCACCATTTATTTATTACGTGTGTGACTTTGGGCAAATTACTTAGCTGATTCCCATTTTCCTTTTCTTGAAGATAAAGTTACTGTGATTATTAGAGGAAATGTACTTAAAGTGCTTAATAAAATGATTTGCACTTAGTAGATATTCAAGTAATTTTAGGCATTATTTCTAAATTGTCATTATTCAGTATCGTAAAGTCCTTGCCTTTAATTTTCACAATTTAGTAGGAGAGATATATTTACCTAGCTTAATGTGATAAACAAATGACTGTGAGAGCCCAGAGAAGGTAACGATGAATTCTTTAAACAAGAAATGAGAAGGTATTGTATAAATGACATTTCATTTAGGCTTTGAAGGATGATTTAAAATTTTTCCAAGGAAAAAGAAAGCTGGTATAACAATTTGTTCCTATATAATAATAAGACAGATTACTGAATTAATTTTTATAGGATATGCTTTAGTTCATTATATTTTTTATATAGATTTATTGGCACTAAATAATAGTCATTAGGAGATTAAGATTATTGTGATGGCATCATAAATGGTCTTCTGTCCACAACCCACCCCTTCGGCCCTTTTCCATTTCTTCCTTTCTTTTGTTACTAATATCTGGTCAGGATATTTTTTGGCCTAAAATCCTTTACCTTCCTAATATTAATAGGATGAAGTTCAAATTTTCTGGAGAATATAAGACCTTTTAATATCTAATTCCTAACTACTTTTCCAAGAGCCTTCAACTCTTATTTTCTTTGCTTTGCCTGGAGTAAGTCAGTATATGGACCTTCGTAACTGAAATGTGCTACTAATTGTGCTGACTTCTCCATTTACCTGCAGCTTTCCCTCATGCAACCACAAAACTGTGTGTGTGTCACTGTTGATGTTTATCCTGTGATAATGAATATATATTCACTTGTTTAGCAAATGTTTATTAGGCATTTATTCTGTGCCAGATGCTTTTTGACAACCTTCCCCCTCCCAAACCCTGGACCATGAACTCTAAGGCAGACAACCTGCTTTATTGTATCATCAACCTCCAGTTTGGTGTCTTAATAGTAGGCATACTGTCAATATTGTTGCATACTTTTGTATTTTTTTCAGAGGTAAACTTTTTACTTGTATCAAAGCAAGATGGTCAGAGGGAGTTTTTTTTGCCTCTAGTCTTATTGAGGTATAATTTATATACAATAAAATTCATCAATTTTTAGAGAATAGCTTAATGAGTTTTGATAATTAGGTATGTATAGTCTAAGTAGATGGTGAGTTTTCAAAACCTAGATTTTAATGTTATGTTTTACTGTATCGTAATAAAAATCTTAACTTTTTTTCCTTTATTAGATTATTTCCCTATTGTTATTAACTTTACACAGGTCTAATAGGAAGAAGAAAGGTAGTTTTTTTTTCCCTCTGTTGGTGACCTACAGATCCACTTTTCCATTCCTATAATACACAAAACTAGGAGAATGGAATTTGTGTAATAAATATAAATAAAATGACAGTATAAGTCTTTTTTTATAGGTAGGGAACTCTAAATTAAAACTGGGTTCAGACAAATAAAAATTTAAAAGTACCAACATTTTAATAAGGTGCAAGTTATAGACAGAAATGGAAGCCATCAAAAGACCCTAAAACGTAATTTTTTTCCTCTCCTCTTACCAAATAAAGAAACCGAAACAGTCTGTTGAGGAGGAAGAAAGAGCTTTTAAAAGTTACTTTTAAATCTCATTAAAAAAAAAATTTACTTGGTTCACATTATTTGGGAATCAGATAAAATCTGGGACACACTCTGAGGAAATACAGTTATGTGTACAAATTTTTGCATATAATTGCAGTGGTTCCCAGCCTCTTGATGGTTTCTTCCTAAAAAAACCATTCAATTATTTTTGTCATGTTATGCTGAATTTATAAACTCTTTACTAGTAGTTATCCCCAGATTGAAGAAATAACTATTAAAAATCTTCTGAGAATGTTCTCTGGGGATTATAACTGGTCAGAGTATTTCTTTTCCCATACATACATGCTCTGCTGGTGATGGTTGCCTTGTATCTGAGACTTAGAATTGATTTGGTGTGTTGGCTACTTTAGGTCTATCATTGCAAGTTGCTGCTCCTCAAACTTTAGCTTGCATAAGAATTACTGAAAAAGTTTGTTAAAACAGATTCCTGGGCCCCTCTGCCAGAGATTAATTCAGTAGCTATGTGGCGGGGGGTGGGGGGTCACAAGACTTTGCATTTCTAAATAAGCTCCCAGATGATGCTCGTGTTACTAGTCTATGACTCCACTTTTATCTGTGCTAAGTAGTACTGTGCTAAGCCGATCCTGGTTTTCTAGTATAGGAAAGCTTTCCTTATCAGATTTAAAAGGGTGTGTAAAAGCTATCAGCATTGGCTACAAAGCTTGGTTAGGGGTTTTCTGTTCTGTGCTTAGGGGAAGCATTGTTTTAGCTCAAGAGTTCTGCTTTAATTTGTTTTTTTTAAAAAAATCCTCTACTAGTAATTACAAAGAATTCTAAATGTTTGATTTTACAAATCCATTTTATAAATGCCAACAGTGGCATTTAGCTCAACTACTGTTAACTTCCAGGATAATTTGGAATCTACTCCCCTTCCTCAACACAAACATGTTAAGTTGGTAAAGGATTTTTAAAATGATTCTTATTGCTAACCATGCATATTATAGCAAAAATGTTATTAGCAAAACTTTTAAATTGTTTTCAACTCTTAACAGTTGAAGAAAATAATTTGACGTGCTTTACTTTTTTAAACTCTTGAGTATTTCCTTTTTTTATGTGAGGGTGAGGTGCTGATTGTATAAGAATATGCTTAGTGAAATACATTTCACTAGAAAATAAATAGATAAGTTAGAAAGTAAGCTAAAATGCTGAATGAAACAGGGATGATGAACATTATAGTATTTATATCATAATATTCAAAACTAGAGATTTAAGTATAGACTTGATATATAGCTAATAAATTAATATGACTTACTGTATAGTAAAATTAATAAAATCTGTTTTGTCTCTCCCAGCTTTCATAGTAATCGTCCAAGTAAAAGGTTTTGTATCTTTAAGAAGTATTCAGAAGATCTCAGGTAACTAGTTGATCTTTTAAATTTTTTTCTCTTGAAAAATTATATGACTTAAATCTTTTGTATATAACATTTTTATTGAGATACAGTTCATATACCATGCAATTCACACATTTAAGTTATACAATTAATAGTTTTTGGTATATTCACAGAATTGTGCAGTTACCACAGTTAATTTTAGTACGTTTTTATCACTTTAAAAAGGCACTCTGTACCCGTTAGTGGTTATCTCCATTTCCTTCCAATTCCTTTCAGCCCTAAGCAACCACTAATCTACTTTCTGTCTATTTAGATTTGCTTATTCTGAACATTTCATGTAAATGGAATGATAAAATATGTGATCCTTTGTGATTTGTGTCTTCCATTTAGCATAATGTTTTCAAGTTTCATCCGTATTATAGCATATATCAGTGCTTCTTTTTCTTATTGCTGAGTAATATTCCACTGTATGTATATATGATAGTTTGTTTATCCATTTAGGTTATTTTAACTTTGAATCTGTTATGAATATTGCTGTTGTGAACATTTGTGTACTCATTTTTGTTTGGACATGTCTTTTCATTTTTCTTTAGTATATATCTAGGATTAGAATTGCTGGGTTTTATGGCAACCATATAACCTCAAGCCTTTGAGGAACTGCCAGAGTGTTTTACAAAGTACCTGATTAGTCTATATTCTCTTGCTAAATTTGTTTCAGGTGTGACCAATGGTGTCAAGATGAAGTCTTCATGTATTTACACTGTAAAATGAGAACAAAAATAGGGCTGTCCAACAATATTTGATTTAAAAAAAGATACCTAAAATATGTAGTAAAGTGACTAACACTTTTTCAGTTTTGAAGTAAATTTCTTAAACCACTGGAATTCTTGAAATTAGTATGTAGTCTGTATAATTCTTTTTCCTTTTCAAATTAAGAGAAGTGTACAACTTGCTTACTGTGCAGAAAGAACTGTTGATGAATATTTCTGAAGACACTGAGAATTTGGTTTTACCACACACTTAACTCAGAATTCACTGAGCACCATGTTTTTCATATTCTTCTGAATTCTTTAGACCCCACTGCTCTTTATTTTTGCTCATGTCGCCTTTGCTACCTGAAATATCAGTATGTTTGCTGCACCAAGCTAATCTATACAGATAAGGTTAACCAATACTTGTTTTGATATTTTGGGTTAGTGGAAAAAATGGAAGAGGGGATGATATTATGTCTCAGGACCTTTGTACTTATTGTTCTCTGTGACTAGTTTGCTCTTTCCCAGATTTTTGTGCGATTAGCTCCTTTATCGCCTTTGGGTCTTTATTCTGATGAGTGAGCCTTTCCCTGACCACTTGATTTAAAATTATATCCTTTCTCCTGTGCTTTACCCCAGTGCTCTTTATTTCCTTTTTATGCTTCATTTTTCTCTGGATCATCTTTTATCATCTCATTCACTGTATATTTTGTTTATTTTCTGTGTCCTCTCACTAGAACGTGTGTGGTTTGGATTTTTGTCTATGCCAGGCATTGATAGTGATTAGGCACCCAGTAAATATTTGTTGAATAAATTAATGTATGCATTGAAAATGACTTATGTGGACAATAGGTCCCATCTATGATGTTGGACCAGTAGCTCACAGGGAGAGAAAAATTTGGTTCAGTTTTAAAAATATATTAGTACTAATTTTAAAACATTTACTGGGCTTCCCTGGTGGCGCAGTGGTTGAGAGTCCGCCTGCCGATGCAGGGGTGAGCCTGCACGTCCGGAGCCTGTGCTCTGCAACGGGAGAGGCCACAACAGCGAGAGGCACCGCGTACCACAAAAAAAAAAAAAAAAAATTTACTGAATTCAAGGAAATAGATTAAGCTATATTAGAGGTTGCCTATACTGAAAATTTTTATAAGAATGAAGAGTTTTATTGCATTCAAAAGATGAGATTTTTGATTTTCACCTCACTGTTGTTAAGCTCAGTTGTGTGTTTGGTTTTTAAGTAAATCATATGATTTTAAAGCTCTGGGATGTTTTTCTCTCAACTTGAATAAGTCTCAGATTGAAAATTTGCCTATTTCTGTGAATGGAACATAGAAACTTATAGTTGTATAGAACAATAATTTTTGTAATTATTCTTTTATTGGAATGGAATATTTGTTCTTTAGCTATTTACTATGTATCTACTAGGTCTATAATGTAGCACATCCTGTAAAGATAATAGTAATAATGAAGAAGTCTTGGAACCAACCTTCAGAGAATGTACATTTTATTGGGTGGTAGATAAGAGGTGAATGTAAATAACCACAATAAAACAAGAGGGATTTTAATAAGTGCAATGATGGTTGTTTTTTTTCCAAAGGGGAGCGAGATTACTTGGAATGATCTACATAGGTGTTAGTTTACTTGGCTTTAAAGGATGAGTATTGTTTATACTGATAGAAGAGGTACAGGTGCATTTGAGTTGGAATAACATGAATAGAGGTGCAGAAATGAAAAAGTAGAAGGCATACATAGGGGGAATGGTAGTAGTAAATGAATGGAGCATTGAAGTTATAGTGATAATATTGAAATTGGGGGTAGTAGTTTTGAGCTTAGAGCCAGATTGTGAAAGCGTTGAAAATAAGGCTAAGGAGTTTGGACTTATTTTGGAGGGCACTGGACAACCTTTGATGTTTTATATAGAATTGAGTGAAACTGAAGGAAGGTTGAATTTCTTCTCACCTTTAACAATAGGGTGAATTATAGATGCATGAATCCTATTGATTAGGACTTTTGTGGTAGTTATGAATAATCTAGTAAGGACTTGGTTAGAATGGTGAAATAGTATTATATCATCTTTAAGAAACTGGGCTCTGGAATGAAAGTGCTGATTTCAAACCTGATCTTGATCATTACCAGCTCTGTGTCCTTGGTAAATTACTAAGCTAACTCCATCCTCTATTAAAAAGGTGATAAATTATAGCATCTACCTTTTATGGGTTGTTTAGATTTAGATGAGATGGTATGTCTAAAATTGTTAGCCTAGCACAGAATAAGTACTCAATAAATTGTTGATATAAAATGCTTGACATACTGACTGTTCAAGGAAGAAGAGACAGAGATAACTATAGGTTGAGCTTTATTTTCAGAGGAAATGGCATCATAAGAAAGGCCAGTCAGGATAACTTAATTTGGGAAGGAAGTACATGATTTTAGTTTTATGAAGGTCAGTTTTTTATGTGCCAGTATGACATCTAGGGGAAAATATACAGCAGACTGTTAGACTAGAGCTTTAGGGGAGAAGTCAATCTAAGGTATGCTATTTGTTTGTATTTTATATTGGTAAAACATTTAAAATTTTAACGTATGTGATGAACTTCAGAAATGTATTTATGCTTTGTTAATAAACTGACAATAACAATGATCACATTACATGATCTATTTTTTTTCCACCTAAGCAAAAATAATTCATTAGCAGGATTCCAAAGACCCTCATGGACCCCTAGAAGGAAGAGATACAGCCAGAACATACGAGGGAAACAGAAAGCCATCAGTTACTAACACGGCTTCTTTCTAGTCTGACCTGCTGAAGCAGGATGATTTTGTTTCTGTTATTTTCTCTGGACATGGGTTCCATTCTCCTTTCTCTGTGTAGACCAGCTTTCTCTGTTGATGACCCAAACATAGTATTCCTAGCTTCCCACATTTTCCCAGATCAAGAAATGTGATTGTATATCCCAATTACAAATCCCTGTTCAGAGAAGGCTTGAGTTAGACATTCCATCCCTGGTCCAATTAACTATGTCGAGTGGAATAGGCATTTAGCTACTTACCATTGAGACTACTTTTAGTGTCTGTTGAGGGCAGTTTGTCAATAGAAAAAGACTGTAATTATTAAATTTAAGTATTTAAATCTTAACTTCCCTTAAGCTTAAAAATATTCCATTTAGAAATCTAGTACATTTAATAATCACTTTCGGGACTTCCCTGATAGTGCAGTGGTTAAGAATCCGCCTGCCAAGGCAGGGGATATGGGTTTGAGCCCTAGTCCAGGACGATCCCACATGCCGCGGAGCAACTAAGCCCGTGCGCCACAACTACTGAGCCTGAGCTCTAGAGCCTGCGAGCCACAACTATTGAGCCCGCGCACCTAGAGCCAGTGTTCCACACAGAAGCCACCACAATGAGAAGCCCACGCACTGCAAGGAAGAGTAACCCCCCCTCACCACAACTAGAGAAAGCCCATGTGCAGCAACGAAGACCCAACGCAACCATAAGTAAATAGATTTATTTTAAAATATCACTTTCAAGCGGGCCTTTAAATAATGTTTGATAAAGTTCATTTAAGCTGAACAGACTAGAATTTTTTATTTTAAAGTCTCATTTACACTTCTCTTACCTTTAAACAATGTAACATCATTTATACATTTAATATATTTGATTTTCTTTTAAACAGCTCTTCAGATGCTTGACCCCAAGCTCCCAAGTGCTTAACTCTAATAAACATAATAAATTAAACATAGTGGCTTTCTAAGTTCTCTGAAACATTCACATATTTTTGCAGGCTTAATATTTTAAAATAAAACTCAAAGCTAAAAGTTTAAACACATTTTAAATTAGAGTCTTAAGACCAATTTTACATACTATAATACGCCAATTATGTTTAAATACTTCAAATAGCAAATGCTGCACAGTTTGATCCAATAAGCATAAAAACTATTCGTGAATTCAAAAAAAATGTATTAATGACTATGGGAATTGCTTTCTAACCTTTTTGAAAATTTATAATCATTACATATTTAAGAACTACAGTACTCAGTGAAGTTTTGTTAAGGGAACAAGTAGTTTAGGTCCAGGCAAGTGGGCCAGTTCAGAGTACTGGGATGCTGAGGAACTCAGACTTTGGACTTCAATAGTGAATTAGCTACTTCAGTTAATTCGGTGTTATATGAGAATAATACCAACCTTGGATGCTTGTGGTGAGAATAAACTAAATAATATATAGGAAAATCTTTAACACATAGTATACAACGATAGCAGCTACGACAGTGATCTATTTTTAAAGCCTTCACATTTCTAATTTTTTCCTCACCTAGATAAACACTAGATAAATGTTCCATTAGAGCACAGACCGTATTTTTTGGTTGTCATTGTATTCACAATACAGTACACTAGTAGTACAGTATGTGTAATGACAGCCTTAGTAAATATACACTGACTAATGTATATATTGTACATTTATATATACTGAACTCTTGTTTTGCAGATGGGCATAGGCACAAATAGACTGTGACTTGTCAAAGTGACCCATGTTGTTAGTGGAGCCAAGCCTGGACTGTAGGTCTCTTGACTCTTAGCTTTCAGTAACTGGTATGAGAGAGAAAAGTTTATAAAGCAAAAATACTTTCTGTAAATAAATGGTAGTATAATTTGAATATGACTATGACATTTTCTAGAGAAACATTTCAGTTATATCAAGTTTATATAACAAAAATTGGAAAGACAGTTATGACACAAAAAGCAAATCACGGAAAAGTATTCATTGAACTGGTGTGTGGATTTTCATAAAAGATAAAAACATTTTCTTTTATACTATTTGCTTTGTTTTTTATAGGGGCATTACTCTAGTGTGCCTTAATTGTGATTTCCTAACTGATGTTTCTGGCTTAGATAATATGGCTACACACTTAAGTCAACATGAAACTCATGCTTGTCAAGTTGTAATAGAGAAAGGTACGTATATAAAATTGTTTTACTTTGGATTTTTGATATTTATTCCGGTATTATTGGTCAGCCACAGTATGTGCTCTTTACTAAATCATTTTTCTCACTCATCATATTTCATATGCTGTTTTAAATATAATACTTTTCTTCTAATTTCAGTTTCTGTTTGTATCCCAACTTCTGAACATCTTTCTGAGTAAGTTTAATTTTTATTCAGTGCATTTTACTTTGATGGATTTTAGCACTATTGCATTTTTAAATGTATCATTAACAGAAATGAAAAATATTAAAGTATTTTGTTTTTTTTTGTTTGTTTTTTTTTTAAAGCTGCTTGTTGAAATAGGTTCCTGCTCTATGGAGCTCGTGACCTGGTGCAAGACAAGTTGGAATTTCCTAAGTTCAAAGTTCTGAGATGTTTTCTTACACAAAGGCAGTTAAGCAGCCAAGTTCATGACACTAGCTCTCATTATTCAGCTCTTTTCAGCTTCAAATGGGACTAGATTCTTATTCCACCTTATCTTTGTGTCAGGTTGACATATCTTAACATACGTTTTTTTTCCTCCGGTTGGCTCTCTCCAAAAATAACTTTTGTTGCTATGGTCATTTCTTACTTTGCTTAAAATAATTTGTGTTTTTCTCTGCTGTACTTGACTTCAGAATAATATGTTCCAAATGATATGGCTGTTTGTCTTTTTGTCTGTTTTGTCTGCTTTCTTAATTTCTTATAAGTCTTAAGTTTTTTAGGCCAGATGATTGTCTTTTTCCTCATTCGTTGTCTGTCATTGTGCTATTTTTCTTATTTTTCAGATGGAGAAGCAGCCCAGAGATTTCAAAAAATGTTCAGGGTACACCTGGACAGTGTCCGCCTTCGATGGACACAACTGATGCCTGTTCTCTCTTTCCAAGGAATGTGACTAATTTGACTGTGGGACCTGCTCTAGGTTGTGGTCTCAGGAAATCAGATCTTGGGGAGACTCCCTTCTCTCATGGCTGGCCTTCCATGAGGCTGATGTTGATATAGCCAGAGATGGTATCAAGGCCCACCAAATAGAGCACAGCTTCCCACTGGGGGCTTTGGCTCTTGATCTTAAGCTTGTGGGTTACTTCTGGCCAAGAAAATCAAATCTGTGCTTCAGTGTCCCAGTTGAAGTTTAGTCATTTTGGCTGCTTCCCTTTAATCTTCCTCTAGCATGAATGCATCCAAGGAATACAAAAGCTCCGGTTATTAGGAAATGGTTATTTTTCATATCCTTGGAACAACAGGTCTCTACAATTATGTTCCAAAATTTCACTTATTTTTACTGTTATTTAAAATGTATTACCCAGGAGTAACTTCATAGTTTTTTAACAGCATCAATTATCAGATTTTTTATTTTTAAAAAATTTAGTTTAATTTTGATAGCTTGGTTTTATGTTCTCCAAATGTATTGATGTCTATTTTTATATTCTTTTCTTTAAAACTGTTGTTTAGTGTTTGCTTTGTTTTGTTAAGAACGCCAAGATAGTCCCTAGAATTCTCTACAGATTTCCTATAGCTGCTTATTTATAGCTTTTTAATTTGGCTGTTGTTCAGAGTGTTAGACATGATTATATCCATTCTTATTTCGGGATTATTATTATTAATATTATCTTAATTGTGAGTTCTAAGGTGTAAAGAATTGACAAAACCTATTCTTGGAGACCTTAAAACAAGGCTTTTTTAAAATTTAGTTTTATTTTTTTATACAGTAAAACAAGTTTTAAAGTTGCATATTTGTACATCTAATACATAATACCTACTTAGCTATTAATAGTTCCTTTGGGTAGTGGTAACATTAAAAAAATATAAGGGCCAATAATGCACTTGTTTCTATCATATATAAAACATATCTCCACATATATATATTTTTTAAAGTTGACATTTGCTTATTTTAGTTACATTGACTATAGCTCTAATAAACAGTTTTGATGCTATTATTTTGTTTTAATAAAAATTCTGTTGTTTAAGTGCCTCAGGAATTATTTACTAATAAAGAATTTCATATGAAAGCTGTAGCTTTAATCATATAAATAGGAGCATTGCCTTTATTGTTTCATGGAAGCCCTATTATTTGGCCTGCACACTGAGAGCTGTATCTACTTAGTGCATCTTGCTTTTTTTCCTCTGGCACAATTGAAAGGTCACTGTTTATACTCTACCAACTTATTGAATTTTAATGACATGCAAAATACCTTTTGTGATCTTAGTTGCCATAAGGGTTAGGCAGGCTCTGGAAATATGACTCAGTCATGTTTTTTTACTCTGAAGTCAGAACTTGCTCAGTTTTACTTTGAAACAGATTTAAAGCCAGTATAGATGACTACTTATTATATAATGTGCTTCTTGCAATTAATAATCAAAAAATTTGAACACATTAGTTTTAAATTTCCAAACTAATTTCTACGGTAAATGAATAATTTTTCAAAAGCTCTGGAAGTGGCTTGTCTCTCAGTAGGTGAATTTGGTGTTATGCTAGTCTTTATTTCCTTATCTGTCTCTAGGAAGTTTTGTCATTCACCCTCTTTCTACCCAGTTTTTTTTTTTTTTAATTTAAAAATTTTGTCCAGAAACAACTTCTTTACATTTTTAACATAAGTTCCTTTTTCATTTATAGATATTTGCTCTACCTTGGCTATAGTTATAAAATATGGGAAATTGTATTCTTGATATAGCAATGTAGGAGTACTACTTTGTGTTCTTCCATAGGACTCTGTTTTATAGTAGTATCAAGTTCATTTTCTTAAAGTTTAAACTCCTAAAGTTCTATCACCTATAACTTCCTTTTTAAAAAGATAATTTAAATAAAACACCTAAGGCAGCTAGTACAAAACTTGTTGATTATAGGCAGTTGGTCATATTTTAATTTTGTGCTAATGAATTTTAGCTTGAGTCTAATCCCTCCTTGCCATCAGGTTATTCTAAATAGTTTATTCACCTGATCAGAAATTGCCATTTCATGCATGTGTGCTTTTGGTTACCACTGGAAAAAAAAATGAGATTGGTTCAGTTTAAGTCCATCGCTATTTTGAGAAAAAATGACTGCTAAACTACAGAGACTTGGATTCTTGCCCTATTTTTATGATATTTTGGTATAACTCCTCACCTCTTTGGGCCTCATTTGTTTATTCAGCAAATATTTCTTGAACATCTGCTTTGTGCCTGGCACCCTTCTAAGTGCTAGAAAAATGGACTGAAATCTCTGCCCTCACAGAACGAACATTTTAGTGGTGAAGGACAGACAATATAAAGTAAATAAAATATATAGTATGTTAGATAGTGGTCAATACTATGGAGAAAAATAACATAGGGAAGGGGGATAAGAAGTACTGGGTGGGAGTTTGGAGGCTGCCATTTAAAATTTGGTAGTCAGGGAAGGTCTCACAGAGAAATGACATTTGAGTAAACACCTGAAAGAAGAACTGCATGGAGACTGGTCTGGCTGCAAATAAGTGATTAAGAGGGAGAATAGTAGGAGTTGGGGCTTGCAAGGTAATGTGGGCCATGTGTATAGGACGTTATGGACCATTGTAAGGAATTCACCTTTTACTATGAGATAAGTAGCTATTACAGCATTTTGAATAGTGGAGTGTTTTATACCTCAATAAAAACCACAATCAACGAAAACCTTTAAATACAGAAGAGTGTCTGTATTACCATAGCTGCTGTCTTCGGAATAAACTGTAGAAGACCAAGGACAAAATCAGGGAGATTAATTAGGAGGTTATTGTAATAATCCAGGTATGAGATGGTGGGGATTTAGGCTAGGCTGCTAGCAGTTTAGGTGATAAGAGTTTTGATTTGGGACATGTTTTGAATTTGTTGATGGTTTATATGTGAAGTGTAGAAGAAAGAAAGTTTTGAGGATTATTCCAGTTATTAGTGTGAGCAACCGCAAAGATGGCATTGATATTAACTGAGATAGGGAAGACTAGAAGTAATAGATTTGAGAGGGAAGATGATGACTGTGATTTGGGACATAGTTTGTGATATCTGTTAGATATGTAAGTTGAGATGTCATAAGCATTCACCTGTATGAATTTAGGGGGGTGTTCTAAGCTGTAAATATTTAATGTCATGGGAATAAATACAAGTAAAACTGGGGAAAACTGAATAAGGTTGGTATATGTATCACTGTCAACATCCTGCTTACGCTTTTGTGCTATAATTTTTTTTACTGTTATTTTGTATTATAAGATGTTATCATTGGGGAAACTGCACAAAGGGAATATGGAATCTCTCTGTGTTATTTCTTATAACTGCATGTGAATATACAATTATACCAAAATTTAAAATTCAGTGAAAAAAGTCATGGGACTATATGAGATCACCAAAGGATACAGTAGAGAGAGAGAATGGGCAGGGTCCACAGGCTGAGCTCTGGGAAATCTGACAATAAAAGGTCAGGGAGATGAGAAGGAATTGGTAAAGGAAACTGAGGAGTGGCCCATGGTATAGAAAGAAAACCAGGGGAGTGGCAGTGTTCTTGGAGCCTCAGTTACCCTATTTGTAAAATGTGAGTGCTGACTTGTTCTAGACTTCTGAGATTCTATTATTCAATATTGGTTATACTTACATTGTCATAATTTGTTCTTATGACAAGATAAATTTAGAATGCCACGTATCCTATTCCCTGTAGCAGAAACAGGGACTCTTTGACCTTGAGAAAATTAAATGTTCACATTACTTCTCAGCACATTTAACTCTTTCATAGGCTCTTGTAAAAGTAGTTCTCTTATACTTCTATTAAAGAAGGTAAGTAGGTCATTTTTTCCCAGGTTCTGTACTGTACAACTAATGTCCATAATTTATAAGTTGGGAGGAAAAGTTTCCATGGTCAAATAAATTTAGGCAATGCAAGTTAAAGTTAAATGGATTCTTTGATATGGGCTTTTTCATGCTGTATGTGACTTGTGAATGTCTAAGAGAATATTTATTTGACCTTAGAATTTTTTTCTTTGAATACTTATTCACTTCTTAATCTCCATAGAATAGTGTGTAGAATACTGATCTGGAGTAATCCTTCAAATTTTATGAACTGGGAAATAAAAAGTAGTTGTGTAGTGTTGCCTAAGATGGATTCCTAGACATTTCATTTATGTTTATGAATCATTTGTAAGATAGTGTTTGTAACTAGAGGCTAGCAATGTATATTTTCATATTTTAAGAAATTATATCAG